GTTGACCAGAGCTTACTCACACCAGAGGTGAAGTTACAGGCCTTCAAGTGCTCTTCCCACTTTTTCCGCTTATGTTGATTTACTAGTTGCCGAATCTCCAAATTAAGGTCCCTCAAGCGAGGGTCCCCGGGGTCGACCTGGCGTAGGTGGTCACGCTCATTTGCTAGAACAGCTGCTTCAGCCGGGAAATTTGGGCGGATTTCCGCGATGCGTCCGGACGGTATGAAGCGAGCTGCTGCGGCAGTGACTACCCTGCGGAACTGGCGTTCGCCAGCATGTACGTCTGTGGGTGTGGGGAGTGCGGCGAAGCTGCTCTCGGTAACTTCCACGAAGCCGTTCCAATCAGCTTTGTTAAAGTTGGTGTAGGTTCGCTGATCCGCGGGAGCAAAGTGGGTGGGCTTATTGATCGAGATGATTATGGGCAGATGGTCTGATGCTAACGATAGCATAGGTCGCCATGATATGCTATTTATCAGACCAGCGCTAGCAATTGTTAGATCTGGCGAGCTGCTGCAGCTGCCCACAATCCTGGTGGGGGCGTCGTCGTTCATGGTGCAGAATGTCGAATCGTCTATCTGCTCAGCCAAAATGTTTCCCCTCCGATTATTGGCCAGGCTTGAATGCCAAAGATCGTGGTGCGCATTGAAGTCACCTACTACCAGTCGGTTTTCGCCTCTGAGTAGCGCACCTATGTCAGGGAAATATCCAGCCGGGCAGCAGGTGACAGGGGGTATGTACACGTTAAATATTTCGAGCTCGACATCGCCTGACCGGACAGCTATGCCCTGACATTCTAGGGTAGTGTCCCTTGGGTCGATGTCTTCGATTAGCCGTCTAGAAAAAGGGGAGATGACGGGGGGTAGAATAGGACGCCTGATTTCAAGAATACTCCCCTGTTTTCTAGCAACCCTATAGTTCTTTTATAATTAACCGACTTCCAAAAAAGGAGGTTATCAGTTCGTCGGGTTTTTTTTTTTTATGTATGTTACCGCATAACTTTGGACCACGTCAACCGATTTCGATATTCTTTTTGCATCGGAAAGGTAGTGTCTCAGAGGTGGTCCCATACTAATCTGGTTGAGATCCGATCAGTGGATCATGACATATATATATATATATTTTTTTTTTATATGGGAGTTGAAGTCGGTTTTTTTTTTGCTAAAAATTACTTGTTTATTGTTATAGTTTTCATATAAACGATGAATAAGATAGCAAAAAAACATAAAACTTGGTGCTGCCAGACTGAAATTTTAAATAATAAAAGCGGATTTTTAATTCAGAATTTTCACTTAGTAGTGTAAAGTATTCGCAAAGAAAGTACTAGTGGCAACTACTCTGCCAAATGCAACCTTACGAAACGGTAGAGGATTACCATTGGTAGCACTGCGTTAATATCCATAACGTTGGCAACCTTGGCTATCGAATGTTACAGCTCGGCCATTTTTACTGATTCCTGAAAGGAGAGCTGCAGCCTATTTTACCACGAAGGAATAAATCTGGAAAAATAAACGACATCTTTGTACTTTACAACCCAGGTGTGGACAAAAACCGAAATAAAGTACTTGAGCCACAAGCGCGACTACTTATTTACCCGAAATGTCACAGCAAATGACAAAGCAGGCGATAGTTGAGGCACTGGATAACGCGGGCATAAGCTTCCCCAAGTCGGCTAAGCTACCCCAACTAAAGCGCCTCTACGTCGGACTCCACCAAATCGAAGAGCACGAGGATGGCGCCTCTAACTCCGAAGAAGAAGATCCCGTATGGGTCGTATCCGCAAACGTCGAAGATTTCGCCGGCTTTGGCGCCAGCGCGCTAACAGCCACCCTAACTAATGCCGACAATGAGAGCACCACCGCCGAGCCTGCCGCAGCCACTGCCGAAAAACTTCCCGTGCCACCACAATCTCTGAGACCGCAGCCCCAGATAGTGAACGTGCCATTGCCGCGCCCAATTAATCTGTTGCCACCACCAATGCCGCCACCGCCGATATTATAAATGATGATGAATGTGCCGTTGACGCCGCCAGAAAAGTCATCGCCACCGCTAATGCCGCCATTAGGACTGCTGCCATAGTTAATGGAAATGCCGCTGCCGCCAATACCACTGCCGAAAATATGGTCGACCGAATGACCGCCACCGCCACCACGTCCC